CACTGCCAGTTTGTTTTTCTGGGAACATTCAGGTATTGATTCGTGGATTCTTTTGTTGCCTGTATTAGAAAGAAAGTCTCTTTCTCCTCACTCCTCTGTGCTGAGAGAAACAAAGAGTAAAGAAAGGTAGATGTTATCTGACTCTTGCTCAGATACCAAGGTGATTTCTGAGAACTGCAGAGCCAGTTACTGAGTCATAACTGTAGTTTGTTTTCACACCATTAATAGATTTTTATTGGGTTTTTTTATTGTTTTTTATTTTTTGCAATGGCAAATGAGGACACTCGCCTGGGGAGAAACCAGGGCATCTGCCTCAGCGAGCTGGATCACCCTTTTTTTCTCCTTGCAGAAACCTTCCCAGGGGGACATTTCTCTGCCGTAGGGGACAAAGTGGTGCCCGAAGGTGTTTCTGGAGGGGGAGAGCCTCGTGTCCCTCTCGGGTTTCTCTTGCTGGGCAGGTCGATGGGTGGCAGCTCGGGGGTCCAAGGGGAGGGTAAGGGATGGGGAAGTCGCTGCCAGGAGCATAGCAAGTTACTGCATGATCTCAGTATGAGATTTGCATGTCTGTGGATGATGTAAAACTTACCCAGTTGTTTTTAATGCCTGCTTGATGCTGCCTTTTCCCCGTGCAGAAATGCAAAACCACTTGTGGCCAGCGCTACATGGAATAATGTACTGGAAAGAAGCCAGGCAGGATGAGACCTTTCTCATTTAGCGAGGAAACACAGTTGGTCGTTTGGTGGGTCTAGAAAAAGAGAGATGGAGTTACTTGGTTATTACTACGTGATGCATATTCAGCACAGCAGCCCTCTGCTTTTACTTATCCTGTATATAACCCGCCTGATTCTTGCCTTAGTTGCATGTTCTGTTTTCCATTTGTTTATTTATCATCTTGTTTTCAACCTCTGCAATGTTTGATATAGGTATAGAGCTTCAGAAGCGTACACATAACAGATAACTGTGATTTGGTTACAGGGCAATAATTTAAGTTGACAGGTTTAGCTGATAACATAAAACCCAAGAGAGAAATAGCATCAGTTTATAAATGTCAGCAGAACCCCTGTGAGTGAGTTGCCGACTCTGGTGCTGTTACTCTGTCTAATATATTATAAGAAGAAATAAACGGATGTCTGAAAAAATCTGGCTGACCAAGATTAAAAGAATAGGACTATAAATTAAATTCTTCCTTGGCGTCACTTTAAGCAACTTTCAGGACAGATGGAACACGTCCAAATAAGACGAATGCTAATGCACTAGAAGGACCTCCAAAAGACCGGGTGGTTTTAGGCTGCGGATGCTCGGATGCGTGGCAGCACCCAGACACGGGGACGGTTTGTCCGGAGAGCAATGTAAGTCAAAGTGGTCATGCTCTGGCTCGTGTGGGAGAGCAAAGCTTGTCCTGATGCTTCTGCAGCCGATAAAGGGATTAAATCAAAAATGGGAATAAAACGCCGTCCCAGCAGCGCATTGCCAGAGGATCAGTGTCTCCTGCTTGGAAAATAAACGCTGTTGCTTTGCTTTGACGTTTATTCCCAATAAATACCTTGTCATTCATGCAGTGGCAAAGGTGGTTTGTTTGTTTTTTTTTTTTAATCCTCTGGAAGTATTTTACCTGTTGGATGCTATCTTTTTGGCTGCAAGGCGAAGGGCTGAGTGATTGAGGGGTAGGTGGGTGGCACATCTCTGTCGGGGACACTGGGTGGTCTGTTTAAACCCCGTGGCTTTCTCTTAGATCCATCAACCCAAGTTGATGCAGTAATGTGTATTCAAATCAATTTAGTTATGGTTTAAAAAATTGCAAGTCTGGGATATTTTTTAAGTGGTAAAGAATACAAATCGGTTGTGGGGGAAGGAGTTTGCTAGCTTCCTCCTCCGAAAGCTGTAGCGTTTTCTGCAAGTTTGTGGAGGGGTTTTTGCAGCTATTTCTACTCTCTGGGGAGTTGACTGGGAGGTGGGAAATTAATTAGAGTGGAAACTCTTCTTTCCCTTTCTAGTAGGACAGGATGAGATCTAGTGGCTGTAGCATTTGGAGATGTCTGGAAAGTGAGACCATTCAGGTTTATTCAGTAACACATATATGCAATGTGTACGTGTTTGGATAGATGCCTTTTATTCTTCTGAGGTGTCAAGGAGAAAAAAAGGTCAGAAAATTGCTTAAATGTAAACTTGTTCTTATATTTTTTAATTGCATTTCATTTCCCAAATGCAACTTAATACAAACAATAAGTAAAAAACGAATTCCTCTTGGAAAAAAGCTATTAAGAGTATGATTCTGTATTAACAGCATATGAAGCTGTGTAATTGCTTACACATGTATTGCTCCGGTGTGTGCTCCCAGTTGTTGAATAGTATCAAATTGTAGAAATCAAAGAGAATCAACTATTTTTGAGGGAGGTGTCTAGAAGCCACATGTTGAAACGTGATTGAAATTCAGGATTTCCACCTTGCTCGGTTAAATCAGTGATTTTAATCACATTATTCAAGTCAACCCACCCTCAAACACACTTCATGGATAATACTTCAGAATACCCCAAACTAAACAAGACTGAAGACCTCATCCTGTCTCAAGCATCTGGAATATTTTAAGTGACTACACCAGTCCTTTTGCTGAAAACAGATGTCTCTCTTGGTTTATTTAATAAAGCAATATGTTTGTCCTGCTGTGGCATGAACCTGTGCTGCTGTGCACAGTGGCGAGAAGAAATCCCTGTAGCGACGAAAGCCGCTTAAATACATCAAGGCTGAGATTTCTGCTCTGGGGTTTGGATGGTCTTGGTCAAATCTCGTTTAGGAAAGTGCAAAGAAGCAGAAGCAGGAAAGGTTTGTGTCTTCTCTGATGGCAACCTCCTTAATTTGGTTGCTCTGGATTGGTGAGCTCGTGCATGCTGGGGTTTGCCTTTTTTTTTTTTTTATTTATCGCTTACTGAAAATAGAAACTGGGAGGATGGGAGTCGCTCAGCCCTTCTGGAGGCTGCTCCCTTACTTTCCCTTTTGATGTTTCTTTTAACCAAAACCCATCACCCTCATTCCTCTCCCCTGGCAACCGAGTGAAATAATGTGGCCAGATGCACCAGGAGCACGACAGCCAGAATATACTGTACTCTTCTAGCGGGGACATTTATTTCTGGCTGCAACTGACAGTTTAGGAGTTGTTTCAGCGGGTACTGTGGTTTTAACCTGGGCTGTCCCAGTGCTTGTGACCCAGCGAGGAAAGCCGCTGGCTTTGAGAGGGGAAGGACCCAGCTTGCCCCTGGCTTTCTCCCTTAAGTGGTGTTCGTGCCTATGGAGGAGGAAGTCCTCATGCATCTATATGTTCAGCACGCAATGCCATTTTATAATTTATCTTTTTTTTCCTTACTGGCAGCCCCCTACCTCGGTGTCTCCTGAAACAGGGAGTGGAAATGCAATGTTGACCTTTTTGTGACCATCCTACAAACTCCTTTTTGACCGACATGTCCTGGCTGCATTGCCTGCATCACCTGCGAGAAGGACAGCTCAGCTATCGCAGTGAATTCCTACAAAGCTTGCCTTTTCAAAGTGGGAAGATGCTCCTCTATCTAGACATATAGATTAAAGCTTCCGCATATCACAAGGAAAGGAACGGGAGGAGGTTTGGGTCCATGGAAAGCGTGCCAAGCATGGAGAAAGCATATCTAGCCTGTCCTTGCATAGTTTAAGATGAGAAGATAATCACGTCTGTCCCCTCTCATATCCCACTAACGCAACTTCCTATGGACAGGATATCGTGGAGAGAAAGAGGAGCTATCAGAAATGCTTTAATAGGAAATCCTCCAAAAAGGATTTTCCTGTTTTTTCTAAATACATTTATACCTGCTGGATGGCTTTAGGCTTTGAAATATTTTTGTCTGAATTGTGACAAACATCCCAGTCTTATGTAGGAAGCACCAGGTCCTCTGATCAGTGAAATGTCTCTTTGATCTTGAAGAGGGAGGGATCAATCCAGTCATTCCCTAGACTAGAGCATTTTGTCTTTGAGTATATGTATTTGTTGTATGAAATAATTATCCTTGTCTTCAGTCCCCTTTAGTGGGAGATGCTACCTGTCTCCTGCATGCTGTGTTATTTTATCCTAGCCATCTTTCTAGGTAAAAGGAAACAGATAAAGGAAAGGCCAAATAGGAAAACTTCATTGAGAGAGGAAGACGAGCAGCTCTGTGTGTGTCTGTCTGTCCGTCGGTGTGCAGCTGAGATCTCTGTATTCATTCAGCTCCAGCCCTGCTCTCCTAAGCAGGCCCATTTCTTGCATTAAAAGAAGAGGAAGAGACATCAAGAAGCAGCAACCAAATATTGCCATCTCTCCATCTCAGTGCAACAGCTGGCCGTCATGATGTGTTTGTGGTGAATTGTGAGCAAGAAAAAACACTCTGAATTTCCCATCTTTTCTGCATTTAAAACCAAAGCTTAATGTATTCTGTGTATTTTTGTTGGCAGGTAGTAGTGATCATATATTCCTTTTAATACAATATTTCCAAACCAACACAGCCTTGCCTCAGTACGCTTGATATTCAGTGTACCTGGCTACACTCTGCGGTACGCTTTGATTTCACTTTGGCAGCTGTATTCTATGCTGTCTACCCTAATCAGCAACCAATTCCCCTTTCTTCAAATAGTTTCCAAATCTGCTCCTGATGTGGAGTTTTAGTGCTTTCTTAGGCATTGGCCTGGGAGGGAGGAGGGAGATGATGCTCTGCTGGGCTCAGGGTCCCTCCTCCCCTGCGGCACGGAGCCAGCCCGGTTGCACAGGGACACGTTCAGTGGGTCGGGGTGGCATTTCTGCGAAGTTAAAACAGCGCTTGTATCCAGGGGGTGTTGATGGAGGGGAGAGTGGTCAGTGATGGATAGCACACTCCTGTTCATCGTGCGGGACCAGGCTTTTTTATCTCTTTCTGTTGGGTAGGAGTGTGCACCTTCAGCTCATGTTTCCTGTGCAAAGCTGAAATAATGCATGTGCCCTAAAATAATGTGACCTTTGTTTGTAGGTCAAGCCGTTCCTGCAGGGTCACACATACGGTTAAATCTGCAGACGGGAGACAGAGAAGCCAAGCTCTCAGATAGCGAAAACGGAAAAAGTGACATGAGAGAAGAGAGAAGAAGAAAAAGGTACAGTGATGTAAAGCATCAGGGGTGCATGGGCTGTGGGTTTCGTGTCTTTTAGTAGAGGCTGGGTTCCCTGGTGCACTCAATTGCTGTCTCTTCCTGAGACTTAACTGCTTGTTTGAGTTCAGCAGTGCTGAAAACTGAGTCCTGTCCTTTGTGATCCCTTTGGGATGGTGGTACAAGTGCCCTGAGTGCATATTCAGAAACACCTTGATGGCTTCTTGTGCCATGACACTGAAACTAAATTTGCAATGTGGCTTCTTGGAATGACGTTTGTTCCTTTGAAATGTCTGCAGCAACCAGTCTGAAACTACTTTCTGAACCTGAACCATCAGAGCAGTTGTGAGGGGTTTTGTTGGTGTTGACCTGAGCCAGATAACGTTGTTTTTAGCTGGGTGCAGTCAGTAGGCTCGCAACATTCATTTGCGCATCAGTTACTGCTGACATTCTCCTTAGATCACACAACCTTCCCTGCACCCCCATTTTTAATTTGTTTTAAAAGTTTCACTGGTGCTGACTTTCCTCTTGGCACCCTCCTAACAAAGACAGGTTTAGTTACTATGGGAAACTTTCTTTCCTAAGGTGCGTGGGATTTACCACTGCTTCCCTCACTCCCCCAGTTACTCCTGTTTGAAGCATGGAGAAGCTCTTTAGTTTCACGATGTCTCGAAGGTTGGCTTTCATTTTTTTCTGTCTGAGAGTGTTTATGGCCCAAATAAGTTCCCTGAACCAATGAGATCAATGTAAAGAGAAACACAACATAGTTTAAAGTATTTCTCTGTAATTTCTGCTTGGGCTTACCCTTGCCCTAACTTTGTGTTTGCCGATTATCAGCACTTCAGCTGTAGATCTCCCTGTTAAAGCTTGCAAGTCCTTAGCAACGATCTGGTGGCATAGTGGTGCTTTTTTGGTTTTCTTCTGAAACATTTCCTGCTTTTCTATATTGCTACGTGAAATTCAGAGGCATAAATTAACAAACTCTTTTTATTGTGTTAGGACTTGAGATTTTGAGTCGGCATGCAGATTACGGAGCCTTTTTTGATTGTCAGGGTGAGGTGTCTGCAAACCACACAGAAAATGTAGCACTCAGACTAATCTTTCCTTGAGTGTGGTGTTTTTCTGTGTGTTTTAAGTGAGGTGCACGGAAATCTAGCACTCTTAGCTCCTTTCCTCCTGACCTTACCCGTTGCTGGTATATCACAATGTAAATATTACAGATACAATTGTTCACTCATAAAATGTTTTGTTTTGTTTCCTCTGCAAGGCTGGGCAAAGTGGATGTTGACTCAAATTCATTCTCATCCCAGGAGCTCAAAAAAGCATTGGCTAAAATGAAGGAGAGTGAAAAGGCAGAAAGAAAGGTAAGGGGAGTTCTTTGTTTCTAAGGCAATGCACACTACACAGATGCGAATGCCCTGCACCACATGTCTCAGAAACACGATGCTTAAAGTAATTGCTTGGAAAAATACTGTGCAGACTAATCTTCTGGTGAATATGGGCCTAAAATACTTTTGCTCGCCTGTTAGTGATACCGTTCCCTGGGAAACTCTCACCCCTATTTGTACTAATCCTGGGTTTTCTGTAAAAATGGAAAGCTTTTGTTCAGGTCTGTTTTATTCATTTCAAACTTAAAGACCTTGTGTTGCAAGCTGCTTCTAAGTACTTAAGTATATTCTCACCGTTCAGGGTGTTTCTCGGTAATAAATAATTATCCCGTGGGCTGTCAGGGGAGAGGGGCTGCAGTGGTGGAGTAGGCTGGGATCAGCAGTTTAGCAACAGATCAGCCGTCCGATGCTGCTGCTTTCTGGTCTTTACTCAAGTGAGTAGGATCTTACCTAGCAAACCAGACACACAATGTCCACATAACCATCTTCATGAGCCATCCAGACACTAAATTTCTTACTGCCGTTCTTGGTGTACCAAAGCTAAAGTGAAGCTATGGGATCTTTCCTGAACCCAAAGCAGGTATGGTCAGTAAGCTCTCTGGTGTGAGGCTGCTCCCCGAAGTTTTCCAATACCAATGTGATTAGACCTGAATTAATAATGCAAAAAAGTAACTTGCAAATGCTTGTGGGCACCCACAGGCTGATTTCCCTTCCATTGTTTGGATATATTTTTATCTATTGTTTTGATTTCTTTGTGTAACTGCAACTCGGTTGACAAAAAATGTCTGCAGACTCCCAAAGCTGAATGGATTGAGGCATGACGGTGTTTGTAAAGGAAGTTACTTTGCTGTTCACTATCCTTCTAAGCATGAGGAAGTACAAAAAACGTTGGGCAGCTGACGCACTTCTGTTCTGGATTTGGTGATGAGCCACTGGACATAACGCTCCCTGCCACCGGCACAGCTGGATCCACAAGTGATCTCGTGGTTTGAGTTTCTAATCTCATGCCTTGGGTATTAAAAACTGAGTGGCCATGGAGAAGCATAGGCTGAAGTTTCCTTATATAAGCTATAAGTTTCCCATTTAGTTATAAATAGTCCACAACCCAAAGTAAAATAGAATGTAAGTGCTGCTTTCAACCCTCTCAGGCTTGGAGCTGGTCCCCAGCCCCTGGCATGACGCTGGTGGGATGATACGCGACTCATCAGGTAGATCACAGCCTTTTTCCCCTCTTCCACTCAGCATTATTTCCTTAGGCCCTAACTCCTCCTGCTGCTTTGACGTTCTCTCAGTGGAAGGAAAACTGAGGTAGGAGTCAAGGCTCTAAAGTCTTGGAGTCACAGAAAGTCTTTTTTTTCCCCTATCTGGCACCAGGGCATTATTTCGTTTTCTGTAAGATTATTTGTGTAGCAGCCAGCATTACTGATAGCAGGACTTCTTGAAATGAGTGTCATTTAAATGCAAAAATTAGTGATACTCTATTATGTGAAAATAAGCCATATTTTAAAAAACCCTCTTAGAATAGCTATTGTCCCAGCAACTGGGCTAAAAACAGCTACATCTAATGGACCGAAAGTACTCTATTTAAAATCACTCCTGCAGGGAGCAAATTCATCCTTGAAGTAACTGTGTCAAAGTAAATTGAGTTACACCAAGCGTGTTCCCATCTTGCAAAAGCAATTCTGTGTGGTTGGGGTGGGGATGGTGTTCTTTGTTACCGCGTGGTACCTATAGTAATTAGGCCAGTAGTCATTAGCACCGATTGTATGGCTGCCGTTAGATTCATAGTGCTTTCACTTCCATCGCTCAATTTTTTTTTTTTCCCGATGACTCCAGCCCTCGGCTTCTGTTCACACGCAGGGGAGCGGGGCAGTGTGTGCAGGGGGCAGCACTGCACCTGCAAACCCTCTAATTGGGGGGCACTTCTGTATAAAAACATATTTTGGCATTTGTGTTTGTGATAGAATCCCTTTCAACAGGGGCTTTCTTGCTTTCTCCTCCTCTTGGGGCAGCCCATCTTCAGTCTGGCCTCTCTGTGTCCTCTATCCCCTGCAGCAGCAGGCTCTGTCCCTGCCTGTCCCAGTGACACCAGTGCTGATGCTGGAGAATTGGTCCCTACCAGCTCTGGAACTCTCTTAGATCTGTGGCAGAGCCTTTTCCTTCTCACCACATGCCTTTCCGCAGCTCTCTTGGGGTGCTGTTTCTACAAGGAGACGAGCCGCACTGCAGGATGAGCATCTCCTGGCCAAGTGCCATGGCACGGCTGCCCCGTCTTATAGCTGGTCCTCCCGCTTCGTTTTCTGACAGTTACTGTCCCTGACAGTGAGTGCATACGTTTCCCTGAGAGATAAAACCATCCTGAAACTTGTTAAGCGATTGTCTGCATCCAGGGACATCTCCTTGATGTCACTGGGCAGTTCAGGCTGGACAGGATCTCTGGAGGTCTCCAGCCCCATCTCCAGCTCCAAGCAGGGTCAGCTGTGAGATCAGGGAGGTTGCTCAGGGCTTTTTGCAGTCAGGTCTTGCGAACATCCACTTGCAGGCAAATGGAGAACAGCAGTGCTGCCTGTCTCTGGGCTTGACGTTGTTTTGGAGGGCAGGCAGGACATAGAAACGGTGTACAAAGCTCTAGGTACAGGCTTGGGAAGTGCTTGCTGGTACCCAAGGCAGATGTCTTAAAGATAACTGGGTTCCTGGGCTTCTCAGAAGGACCCTCCAACTCTACTCTTGCGTCTCTGATGCACAGCAGTAAATCTGTTTGCATAGACACCAGGTTCCCCTTGTAAATTTGGGGCTGGGGCTTCTTTCTGCATCTTTCTTGACTTTCTTTATCATCTGCCTTCATATCTGGTTTCTTCCTTCTGCTTTCAAGGCCCACGAGGAAGAGGTAAAGAAGAAGTTCCGGCCCATAGAGCAGCTGAAGGAGGAGTTTGAAAAGCTGAATGTGAAGATGGAAACAGATTATGAAATTATGGTTAAATTAATCAGCAAATTCAACAGCTCTGCCTCCACACTGGATGAAAAAGTTGCAGCGCTTGATGATCTTGAATATTATGTTCACCAGGTAACAAAAATGTGTTAGTAACTACCATGTAAAATCCAGGGGATACGGTGTCATAAACATGGTTTTATTTTTCTTATCGGTATCAGGTAATACAAATTGCTTAATTATCATAATCCTGGGACAATAACAGACAGCAGAGGGCTATTGCAGGCTTATTTTATATCTGAGTTTGAATAAATCATCTCGTACCAGTAGCAAGCAGTTTCCTAGGGGTTAGTGATGCCTGATTTGTTGTCTGTTCTCAGGCTTTTTCCTTGCCCTCTCTTTCTCTTTTATATGCATAATGTTACGAAGTAGGGGTTTATCTGCCATCTTTGGGCAAGTAGAGTGGTGGCTGCTAAGAAAATAATTATTTTCTCGCTCCTTCCATGGAAAGCCTCTGTGGTTGCAGGTAGGTGCCCTTACATCAGTTCACAGAGAATGTTGTCGTACCAGGGAAGACGACAGCCACCCAAAAATCCTGTATTTTTGTCTCGGTGTGTATAAGAAGTGGCGTGTAGAGCCTCTCTCACAGCTGGGCCGATGGCAACAATGACTGAAGGCTGAGGGGAATGGCAAGTTGCTGAGCATCAGCTGAACCGTGCTAATCGGCTCTGTGTGAGGTTGAATATATTTCCTGAAATCTCGCTTCCTCAGGTTTATGCTCACACTTTTTCCCCCCTCTCCTTCTGATCTCTCTTGCTCTGCTTTCAACTCGTACGTTTTTACCTCCCGTTGCTTGCAGGCTGTGGGCACACCATTCTTCTCCCTTGTGCTTGGTGCCTTCCCACACTGCAGCGGCTTGGGTGGGTGTCTGGGCATCGAGGCTGTGTTCTGCCTTGAGGGAAAGGAGGGTCTGGAGTGGACTGGGAGAGTTTCCAGTCTCGTTCTCAGTGACTTTACCATTTCAGAGGGTGAATGGGACAACTCTTGGGAGATGCCAGTGCAAGACCTTTCACTGGAACAGTGCTTCTTAAAACCAAATGTGGTATTTGGGGGGAAAGTAACTGAAGGAATATGCTGCTGAGAGAAGGAGTCCATGCACCAGCTAATAGAAGTGTTATTTCCAGGGCTCTTTGTCTTGAATTTCCACACTAAATCTTTGTCATACGCATGCAGAGGCTTCCTTGCTGTTTGTTCTCAATGCCTTTGTTTCACTGACGGCATCTGTCTGACTCAGAGAATAAGTGTGAACAATGGGCGCCCAAAGAGCTTCATATTTATACTCAGGGCTAATTCTGTCTGGTTAAGGGTGCCAGAGCAGCAGGCCAGCATGCTAAAAAGCAACCCCCAAACACTCTGGGATGCTTCGGATTTCAGTATAATGGTCTGGACTATTCCAGCATAAAATCCTGCCTGCTCACAGCACGGGATGGGGCAAACAATTGCAGAAAGGCGAGAGGAGCCAGGAAGTGGTCCCCGCTCCTGGTGCGGGGACTGGAGCATCAAAAGGAACCACATCCAGCATCAAAGGGGTCAGAAAGGGGGAAATGGCAGAGAGGCTGACAGGGAGCACAGAGGACTCCTTTGTGCATCGATCACAACGTTGCTCTGTGCCCGTGCTGTCGGGGCAGATGGCTGGGCAGCACCTTCTCATCAGGCAGGAAGCTGATAAGAAATATGACTTGTCTCTAAGCCAGCATGGCTTTTTCCTCCTCTTTCTTCTTCCAGCCAGTTGAATGCATCCAGAGCATTATCTCTGCTTGGTACTGACTTTAGCAGCACCGGCTTAATGTAATTACTGAATAGGAGCCAAATATGCTTGTGCCGCATAACCCTGGAAGGGCTGAACTTGTCAGGAGTCCTCTGCAGCGAGCCACAGCCGTGCTGCTGGAGGATGGGGATCCTTGCAGGTGTGGGTGGCCCAGGGCAGCACGCACCTACGTGTGGGACTGGTGACAGTTCTGCTGCTCCCTCTTCCCCCAGCCTCTATCTGGATGGTAACTTGCCACAGCTTTTGGTAATTTTTTGCCTCCCAGCTGTCCTGCTGCTGCCTCTGGGGCACAAAATGTCCTGTCGAGTGGAAAATACCATGCCCTGTAGGGTTTGCAAGCAAAGGATGCTCTCCGCTCCATGACGTGGTCATGAGCATCCCGGAGCACTGGGACATTAAGCAGCCCACGCCTCCGAGCTCGCCGCGAGGGAGCGGAGGGGAAGCCATGGCCGGTGCCGAGCCGGAGGAGAGATGCTTTCTTCTGCTCTTGAAGAGTCAGCCCAAGGGCTCTGTGTTTGCTCAGCTTTTGGTTGCCAGCTCTGGTTTGCTTCTCATCAGTCAGGATTCAACTTGGCATGTTTGGGAGCCCATCTTGGAGAAAGAGCAGAAAGGTTTGGCTTGCTGGGTTATCTGTAATGCATAAAAACCAAATGCAAATGTGAAGAGGCCAGAGCATAACTCATTTATAAACAGAATTCACGGTGCTTGCACAGCAGTGTGTGGATCCAAGACCTGTTCTTGTGCGTTGCAGGCGCTTTCTCTCAATTATTTACTCCCCTTATCTTTCTCTCTCCCCTCCTCTGACATACTACACCATTTCTCACTGCTAATTTCCTCTCAGTTGCGTACAGTTGACATGCTGCTTTTCCTTGCTCTCGTTTTCTAACGTTTTCTCTCTCGCCTTCCCTCCCCGTTTTCTTTCTCCTCCGATTCAAAGCCACTCTCTGAATAACTGCTGTCATATTTGCTCTTCTCCCATCCCTCTCCTCGCCCACCTTGCCTGTGTACTTTACTCAAGAGCTCTTTTGATCTTTGGCTTTCTTCCGTGCCGATTTCAGTGGACTGAAGCAAGGCATGAGCTGCTCCCTCACAGCATCACCACTCCCCAGAGAGGTTAATACCTTCAAGTTGTTGAATTTGGGGGTTTTGTTGGTTTTAAAACAGTGAGTGAGGGAAGGAACTCTCACAACAGACTCCAGTTAAAAAAAATAAATACATCTTCAAAATAAGCTTTATTGCACAATTTATATTCGACGTTTGAGGTGTCTCGCTGATATTGGGGCTGGCCCGAAGGACTCCGGTGCTGATGAGGTTACAGCGATGGTTGGTTTGACTGATGCTGGATGCGAACTTCTGCCTTTCTATGCATTCCCCTTTTGAGCAGAAGTCAATGTCCAATTCCAGCATTAAAACAGCCTCACAGTTTTTACAGAGGCTGAGCTATAAAAGGACCCACTGGTAGCTGAAATTGGGTTGCTGCGTAGATTTCTTTGTAGACAAAGATGGGCCTGCAGAAAAGTAAGAGGTTTGGCAGGTCCATTTTATAGGGGCAGTTAAAAGAATAGGATCTGAAAGGATATAAAAGCTGCTGCAAATTCTGAATCAGACCCAGCAGACCTGCAGAGATCGGCTTTCTGTCGCTGGCTTTGCAGAGGGACAGCGAGTGGTGGATATTGTCCCGATGGGGAGAAGAGACGAGCTGTAGCTCCCCAGGTCCTGCTTTGGGAAAGACATACCCATAGGACATAAAGCTAAGTAGCTTCTTCATTCTCTTGGGTACCTAAAATATCCTACTTATGGCCAATTTTGGTGAAGGTACATGGTTGAGATATAACACTAAGCATGAAGTTGCTGTTGATTAAAAGAGCGTTCAAGCTGGAGCACGATGCCTGAGCCCGACATGCCCTGCACGCTTTTGCGGTGTTTTTCCTGTCCCATCCCATCGGTGGGGCCTGCTTGCTGAAGCCGGAGAGGTTGGTTTGCCCAGCTTGATAACTCATTTTTATGTTCTATTTCCATCCACCAACATATGCTGTTGTCTCTCTGTCTTTCAGGGAGGAGGAATGTTGAAATTCTAAAACCGATTTTTTTGTGCATGCAATTCTGAACGTTCGTCAGGTTCCCTTTTAAATTGCAAAAAAAATCCTTGGAAAACCAAAATACATCAATTTGACTTTGGACCAAATTTTGTACTTGAAGCACTTTGCGGTGGTTCTCTAAATTTTGTCGTGGTTTAACCCCAGCCGGCAACTAAGCCCCACGCAGCCTCTCACTTGCTGCCCAAAGAGAATTGGAAGGGTAAAAGTGAACAAACTCATGGGTTGAGATAATGACAGTTTAATAGGTAAAGCAAAAGCTGTGCATGCAAGCAGTGCACATCAAGGAATTCACTCTCCGCTCCCCCTGGGCAGGCAGGGGTTCAGCCATCTCCAGGTACGCAGGGCTCCATCACCCATAACCGTGACTTGGGAAGACAAACACCATCACTCTCAACGTCCCCCCCTTCCTTCTTCTTCCCCCAGCTGTACATGCTGAGCATGGCATGGTATGGTATGGGATATCCATATGGTCACTGGGGTCAGCTGTCCCGGCCGTGTCCCCTCCCAACTCCTTGTGACCCCCCAGCCTCCTCGCTGGTGGGGTGGGGTGAGGAGCAGAAAAAGCCTTGACTCTGGGTAAGCCCTGCTCAGCAGTAACTAAAACCTCCCGGTGTTATCAACACTGCCTTCAGCACAAACCCAAAACATAGCCCCACAGGGGCTACTGTGAAGAGAATTAACTCTGCCCCAGCCAAAACCAGCACAGTGAGCCCCTCGGAGCCCTTTTCTAATCTTCTCTTAGAGAACCGATGCCCACTGTGATTTGTGCTGGTTAGCCCCAAGTCTGGTTAAAGTCAAAGGCCGATGAATCCCCACTAATGTTTCAGCTTCTTCCTCCCAGCGGTTAGTCTATGTTGTCTGCTTTAGAAAAATCATTGCTCAGGCTGCCCTGAAGAGAAGCTCCTGGCTGAGCCTTCCAAACAAGGACTGGCTTTTTCTTTTCATGTCCTCACGAAGTTGTTGACAGTACTCACAAAAAACGCCCAGAACAGCCCACGCTCCTCGCTGCAAGCAGAGGTGATGCTGCCCATGTACCGTTGCTACTGACAGGTTCTTAAATATCCCTAACTCCTGGTGCTACACGTACAGCATCAATTTATTAATTGCATTTGCTTCCCTGGGTTCCCAGTAAAGGCCTGCCCAGGTGAGAGAGCCAAGAACTGGTTTTTTTTGACATCATCAGATTTACTGAATTTTTGACATCACCTGAATTACCGCAAGAATAGTTTTGATAGCTAATCAAAGTATTTGAGTTTTCCGCAATGCTTTCTGCATGTGATAATAGCTACCTGTCAGTAGGCTGTGCTTCTGCAACTATGACTTCCACTGCTTGCAGGCAGTTTTTGTACGAAATTCAAGCCACAGTCATTCCCTCTTAATTTTTAATTACTTTTAAAACTCAGCGCTGGTTAGACTAGGAAGGAAGAGATGGTGTACTTTGTGAAGCAGGACATGCTCAAAGAGTTGTTCAGTGGAATCTGACTGGGGGTTTCATACTGATGGGGACTTGCTCTCTCCCAGGTGGACAACGCTAAGGACTTTCTCTCCATGGGTGGACTCCAGCTTGTGATCGACGGGCTGAACAGCACCGAGGCCACGCTGAAGGAGCACGCTGCCTTCGTCCTGGGAGCCGCGCTGTCCAGGTGAGCTTTCTCCCACCCAGCCTGGGAGGGTGAAAACCTCAGGAGACCAGACAGGCTCTGTGCTTCTCTTCAGCTCTCTTGATTTCTTTTTAAGAGCAGGAGTTGAAAGCTTGCTTCCTGCGACACAGCAAATTGTCTTCTCTGCCTAGCCCTTTCCTTGCAGCACCACTGGTGCTTCTCCTCAGTGCGTCCTCATTCTGCTCGTTAGACGTAGCCAGAAGTAATTCTGTGTGGAAGCTGTGATTGTTTCTTGATTTCCCTGGGCTCCTTGTTTTTACAAAGTCCAAGGGGGATAATTCTGCCTTCCCTCCTCTCCCCTTGGCAGCCCTCTTTGGGGGAAGAGCTGGAGGATGGTGCAGTTAGGAGCATCCCAGGGAGCACCTTGCTCCCTCCTGTTCCTTTCTCCTAGGCTGCTTTAGGGCAACGAGATGCTGATTTCAGAAATATAGCAACTCCCGTGGTTTTTGGAGGGGGATTTTTATCCCCATGGACACGTGCCTCTGACATCAAAGGGGTGTTGATTAGACACGGGCTTAGGAACAGAGTCAGCAGGCTGAATCAAGAAGAGACTGGTCTGAAGGAGGTTTGTGGTTCATTGGAAGGTGGCTGTTGCCCAAAGGAGCCCAGTCAGCCTCGTGCTAGGGCATAGCGTGTAGTGCTGCAGGTGGTACCCTGTGGGCTCAGTGGGGTTTAGTTTGGTTTATGGGTTTTGGGGCTTTGTGGTGTGTGTTACACGCTCACAGGCCCAGGGGCTTTAGAAATGCATTGGATGGACCTAAACTGCAAGGTCAGAAGTGCAGAGTGAAGACTGAAAGTCAGGACCATTATATCTGCATATTTCTATGCCTAAAAATACTGTCACCTTCTCCACCATTATAAATTATTTATCACTTAGTCTAACATATAGGCTACAAATCTGCATTTCTTTTGCCATCTTGTATATGATGCAGTTGGTCCTCAGCATGCGTGAAATAATACGGCCTCCTGGACAGCAGCAGGTACCCAGATTTACACCAGGAAAGGATCCAGCTCGTAGTCTGGAACGGAGCTCAGCTTACTGATTGCAGTAAGATGTGCTCTTTCACGTCAGAAACACAGACCCGCTCTTCATATTCTGGCGTATCTTAATGTTTGAAACAGTATTGTAATTGTTTCCTTAGCTTCTTTAATAGTACGTAGACTCTTAATTATATGTTTCATAAAGAGAAAATCATGCAGAGGCTCTGGAAACATTTGCGGGTAACTTGCGAAATGATGACAGCTATTAAATCACTTCTTTCCTGATTTAATTAACATGACATGATCAAGACTGAGGAAATTCATTGTCTCATGATATGAGTGTGTAGCAGTGGCCGCAAACCCGATGCTTTTGTATACTTAATTGCCAATGCCTTTCTTTGGACAGAAAGAGTCTCTCTTCTAATATGACAATATTAAAATACTGCTTTGGAAACTTTTAGACCTTTTTTCTTTAAAGGACGTTCTGACAGATAGTAATTTTGAGTGGTTTGGATGATGTATCGTCTGAGAGCTCAGTTCCAAAATGTGGGGAATATTATGCCTGGGTTTTGGGTTTGCCTTTTTCCCCTTGCTGTGCTTAAGCTTTCTCAATAGACACCTACACGCCAACTCGTCTGCTTTGTGCTATCTGCTTAATTTGTTTGTTCATACATTTTTCTCAGCTTACTCCGTGCTCCATTTAAACTGTTGGGGGCATTTCAAGTGCTTCATGCTAAGCATTTTCTGATGTCTTGTGTTTTTCTGAGGGGTTGTTTTTTATTTCCTTCACTCGTGGTTGTTTCTAGGGGCCTCAGTTAGGTGGCAGGACTTTCCAGTGAATGCCCAGAAGTGGCACTGGGCTGTAGGGGTTTGGTCTGATCTGTACTTATGTGTCTGGAGCTGGTATCAGATCCTGCGATGGATGCTGAGCCATGCCTGGGCAAGAGGTGACGGTCTGCTACTCACCAAATGCGTCTGTGGCTACCTCCCAGGTCTCTTCAGCCAGGTTGGCTCAGGCCAGTGGTTTCAAGCCAGGCAGACCTTCCCAGAGGAAAATCAAGGCATGATCATGGCAGCTCCTCTGCCCAACCGGGGAGGTCATCAATTCCTGGCATAGCTGAATCTGGAAGAGAGAGTTTGGTGTTGTCTGTGGGCAAATTGTTTCATGCAGGAGAAAACCACTGGACACTGAGCAATCTCAGATATGCTTGGGTCACATCCAGAACTTTTCAACTCTTAATAATATCCAGATCTTCTCCAGATTTGTGTTGTCCTTAGCTCTGATCAGGTAGGGAAGCAGGGAAGGGATAGAGGAACCAACTGCATCACCCGGGTCTTGCCTGCATGCAGTCCACCTGGGACCTGGCTCGGAGGTCTGGCTGTGCTGAAAACCGATTTGGGATAAAAGGAGTTTCAAGTGGATCAGCACCTTGAGCCAAGGGGCCAGGTGGCTGGCGAAGACGTTGGGTCAGCAAAGGCAGTAGGAGGAGAAGGCACAGGAGGGGCAGCTCAGAATTTCTCCCTCTGATACTGCTCCTGTTTATTTGACTTAAACTGGACTTAAAAAGCAGCTTTAGCACAGCAGAGTTTGGTTCTTGAGGCAAAGGGTCTCGGAGTGTAGCTGCTAGGGTGCTGCCTGCACCCACCCTGTGCTCCCGGCATCCATCTGCCTCTATCTGTGAGCCTCTGCCATGGAAGAGGGTGACCTGATACGAAAGAAATCAAGATTTCATCTCCTGTTTCTCTTGTATGTCCTTCATTTTAGGCATTTGGGTTTTAATCGCCGAGTCTGTGACCAAATCAAACATTGTTCCATCTGGTAGAGTTTTCTGAGCGGTGCCCTTATTGCAACTCTAAAACCTCATCGCACTCTTACTGTTTCTAAACCTTTAACAAAATGTTTTCCATTCAGCAGTTTGCAAAAGTAAACTTCATTTGAACAATCCTCAAGTGCTCTGATTGCAAATAAAAGTTAAATGCACTAACAAAAATAATTGCTAGGCATGTGGGGATTGTACATTTAGGTATCCATAATTCACTAACAGTATATGCCAATACACAACATTATCTGGATTTTCAGTGATTGCATTAACATAAAAGCATGTTAGCATTTATCCAATGGTACTAACATTTAAATATATATAAGTATGAAATATTAAGATACAACATTTTGGAGGCAAGTCGAACTACTGTCTGTAAAATGTTCTTGCATATTTTTGAAGGTACACTCTAGTATCTTCAGATGACAATCAGCATTCGCACCATTGGGTCCAAACATTGCAAAAATGTCAATGTTTTATGCAAAGAGGAGCTATATTAAGCTAAAAAAGATTGCTGATGAGAGAAGTGTCTTCTGATGTCCTCTAAGCTATTTACAGGCAGCATCTTCCTTTGTTCATAGCACAGCCAGGCCTCTGCGCAATTTGTGTCTAGATGTTACACAAGACTGGAAATGTTAGCTGGAAAGGATTATGCTTGTGATTAAAACCTCAATTTTTAAAAACTTTACCTCCAGGAAACATTTTTCCACGCCAATAATTTGAACATTTTAATATTTTGTAATAAAAGGATTTTTATAATCCTTTTAGAAGAGGAATAATAATTTGTGTTGAATGCATTCCTGAAGCTTTATCCCAAATGCTCCCCGTACGCTTAGGGGTGAATTAGAAGTGAGGACAGAGAGAAGCTAAACTGTGGGACCTTCAAGGCAAGGAGAAGCAGTTTGTATTTCATGGGGAGAGAGCAAAAAGTGCAAAAGGTGAGATTTTGGGCTGGCCAAAGCGGGGAGCCAGGAGGAGCCAGCCACTTGTGCAGCTGCATTGAGGGATTTGTGGTGTTTTGGCCAGTCCTTTAAAAACCCATGTGCTGTTCAAACTGGGTAGCCGAGGACAGGATTTCAAACTGATGGCCCGGGCTTGCATTTGCCGTATGTCCTAGCAGGATGCAGGGCAGTTCCCTGCACAGCCTCTTCCGACAAGCCCGGCGCTACTGAGATCTTGCTGTTTTGCCCCTGAGTGATAAAACAAATGTTACAGAGCTTGATAAAGACTTGGGAGTAAACTCATCACAGGTAATAACCCAAGCATCGTCTTGTAGCAGCACTCAAGAGTTTCCTAGAGATGGCTCACATCAGGGTGTTGCTTGTCTTAACCATTTCCCATGAGATTAAACCCCTTGAACTATGACAATGTGCATCGTGAACATCCCAGTCACTGTAATTCATGTTACCCAACTCTGAGGCTTGTTTAGAGCTTGCACCATTTTGGCAAAGCAAAGAGAGGCATAAAACATGTATCTACTTTTCAAGACAAGCCTAAGAGGAGCCCAGAGCGATGGGCTCGTTGCCTCCCTGCGCGGTGCTGTGCTGGAGTGTCCGAGTAGTGCTCAGCATCGTGTTGTCCGGCTGTTTTCAGGTCTGCCTTCTCATCTTCTTTTCTTTGGGAGGAGGGATGGGGGAATGCTGTCTCCCTGTCCCTGCTCTGACCATCACTCTTTTGGTGGTGTCCATTCTCTTAGGGTGCACAACTTTCATGTTTTGTCAGAGAAGCACCAGCTTCTTCAGGATGTCTTTGTCAGGAGGAAAAAAGCTTCCACCAGATTTAATGATTTTTAATTAAGTCCAGCTTTGCAATGAAACTGATTGACGCTCACTGCTGTTCAATAACATTAAGGCACAAGCAGTAAACCCACGAAAAGTAAAATTAAAGGCCTTGCTTCAATGCTGTCTTGCAAGGACATAAGAATTTTGGGGCAGAGAAATAAATCTAATTAGCTTAACAAGCACTGTCCCTACCCATTTATTTCAAATCCATCTTCATGTTCGTCCCTTCCTCCTCTGGCTTCTCCTTTTACATCCTACAGTCTTTGCCCATCTCTTTATCCATTTTCACTGGGTTTTTTTCAGTGGCCCTGTGTGCCAACGGCGTGTGTTTGCCACCTCCCAGTTGCAGTAATTCCAACTCGACTCCCTGCCCGCTTGTAATTTCTTGCTTTGTAGATTG